TTATGTACATGTAGGTCCTTGTATATAAAATGTTTTTAGAAGACGATTTTGGCACTAAATGTACCGGTACCTGTATATACATGTATTATGATAACTTGAAATTTCAGACCTGAAAGTACCAGTACATGTAGGTCAAAACTGTCATCAATTCACAAGAATAAAATGAATTTATTTTAACCTGAGATTAATGAACCAATTCCAATTGAGGCACTTCAGAAAGAATATTTTCAACTTCTCATACTGTAATTCATAACACCATGTACATGTATGTGTACATACCTTGTGTTCATGTGAATCCAAAAGCTCTACATTTTCATACCATTAGGTTTCAAATAGTAAAAACAATGGTATTTGAAACTCCATGGGTGCGTTTGGAATTTGTTTTATCAATTTCAGATCAAAATTGAAAGCTCTGAGTGCGGTTGCTAACCAATAATCAGATTATTTTCTACATCAGAGCACAATACACACAGTAATAAAAAAGACTTTTCTTAAAATCATTTAAAATAAGGCCCTTAGTAATTAAAAACATGTTTCATCATGAATTGAAAAGCTTCAACCTCCCAAAGGGTCTGAATGGAGGTTTTGGGACAATTCCTAGCAACAGTGTCTTCAGGGACTAGCCTTAATCATTACATGTACACATGTACATGTATCTCTGACACACTATACCACCCATTTCAATAATGACATGTTGTGTACTGTACCTGTGCAAGACTTACTCCTCCTTGGCGTAGGGTGGAATGCATAGACTGCAGTTGTACAGGGGTAAGTTCTCCCTTGCCAGTAATGTCATACTTCTTGAATAAAGCAGCTGTTACAGCCTGCCTTCTCTCCATTAATTCTGCCTTGCTGGGTACTCTTCTCCCTTTACAAATTACAAGTAAATTAAATGGAAAATTTTACAGCGAATCACAGAAATTATCCATTTCTCCCTTTTTACATATGTGGCATTATATGCAATTGCATGTGAGCCTTATAATGGTCTTTATTCCTTTGAGGTCCATGAGGCTTCAAAGAATTTATTGCCTGCAAGACGGCATCAGGTATTTGGGTCCGGAAGGAAAACTCATTAGCTAATGAATACATGTACAAGGCCTTGCTGCCTAAGTTAGAACCGAAGAGCAAGGTTGGCCACTTTTGTCTGAGGAGTTTAGTCTGAAAGTTTAGACAAGTGTTCTTTTCAACTAATTTTCAAAGAATTACAAAGTATTTTTCAATGCTTCAGATCGCGGGCTAGCAGTTCTCATAGTGTTGCAGTTTTGCCCACAAGTGTTCATGTGCCAGTCACTTGGCCAATTGTCGAGGTAGCCCCTAAACCACTTGGGGTACAGCCAACCCCATCGCTACCAACACTGGTAAAATTAGTATGCTCCCCTTTCTCAGCATATACCCTAGTCGACAACTTGCTCAGAAATTGATTGATGGTTTTTCTTTTGGATTTCGTTTGGGCTACTCTGGAACATGAGCTTGTACCTCAGCCCGTAATTTTCAATCAGTTCAAAACAATCATGCATTGTTACAGGAAATATCAGTCGTGAAATTCGTTTGGGCCGAATTGCTGGTCCTTATTCTAACCCTCCTTTAACCAAACTTGCGCAGTTCTCCTGTTGGTCTGGTACCCAAACAAACACCAGGGCAATTTCACAATCTCTCTTCCCCAATAGGCAACTCAGTAAACGACCACAGTGATTCTGCTCTTACTGCCGTTAGTTACACTAGTTTTAAGTGAAATGAATTAATGGAAGCAAAAGCCTTTGGAAGGTACTTGGACCCTACTATCACCTGACTATACAGTGTATGTCCAAATGTTTAAAAGGCGATTTGTAGCATCCATATCCACCAGAGACTAGTTTTCGAGGGAATATGGCTTTTTCTTTAATTTGAAAACATGAAACAAACAAGTGCAAGATATCAACTAATGTCCTAACATCTTTCCTAAGTTACATGCAATTTGAAAACAACAATCGAAACTGAATGACCTTCACAGTTTTAGCCCAATGGAGTGATCTCCGATGCTCTTACGAACGTACTACCCGTTGCTGACTGTGACCAATTTTTGAGGGTTGTACAGAGGTACGTGTACGGTGCCCAAGTAAAGCCATGCATGAAATAAATGTTTGTTGCCGTGTGGCGCGTCTTGTGTGATTTCATCTCATCCTTTCTTGTCGGAAGTCATGTTTTCCAAAATCAATTTTTCTTTTTTTTACGTCACAAAATATTATAAGGATTTAAATTTCAAATTAGAAATAAAGATAAAACTATTGCAGGTGTTTGTTTGCTTTCAACTCTAAATTTTCCCTGTGTTTTATGTTTTTCCAGCTGTCCTATGTTTAGTTTTCAATTAACATAAAATTAATAAATTGTTTTAAACTGAACACACTTTCATTTATTTCTAAAACTGAAACAAACAATATGTTCTAATGCTTACTATGGCGATTATTTCATTAACCATAATTTACTTGGCAAAATAATAACATGCTTGAACTGGAAAAATGGCTTATATTTTGTCCTGGGAAATTCACTGACAAAAGAAGGAAAATTTACTTCTCTGTGGGTTGGAAGCATGGGAGACGGTGACAAGGTGTGACAATAAAGCGTATCCCTTGCTAGGAGAGGGGGACACTGCAATAGTACTTGATGTGTGTCAAGTACAAGCAGTTTTTGAACAAACACTGGACCCATGATGTTAAATTGATGGAGTTTGCAAGTTCAATGGGTCGAAATCAGTTGAAAACACAGCACTTGTCACTGCCTTCAGTCTCCGAGTTGCTGTCATCATTATCGGCAACGATAGTGGTGGTGCTCTGAAGTGATTGTGTTCTGGTGCAGGAGCATGACTTGGATTAAGTTGAGATGGAGAAATCACACAAGGCTTCTTGGGTTTATTCACATCAACAACAAAATAAAGCAACACATGCATTTGTGAGCAATGGTGGTGAATACAATGTAGTTCCTGCAGACACTTGTCCCAGACTGCATCACTGGGCTTGTACACATGTTCTACACGATGAGAAAGTAACATGTATTTTGCTGTTACCAGTAGATGTCACGTTGGTTGTAATATCTAGGGCCTTATGAATATTTATTTTAATATCTTTTTTATCAAAATATCGATCCATTTTTTTATTTTGTAGGCATAATTGAAAAACCCCAGTCATTTTAACATTTGTTGAAAGAATTAAATGAAAAAAACCTATATTTATTAACTGTTCTTAAATCTTAGAAACATTTTTATTAGAAGTTTAATATGCATGCAAGAATTGAAAATTTTCATGGGGAAAATAAGCTTTGCAACATGTCAACTCATCCCTCCAAATATGAGTGCAAAACAATTTGCCAGGCAGTGAGTAAATGATATACGTGTGAGGAACAAGTCTTTTCAAAGTGCCCATACTTTTCCCCGCATTCAGTCATACACACAAACAGCGGCTTTTAAATTGTAATCTGAAACTTTAAAGGACACTGTAATGATAATTATTAATTGCCCCCGCAATGATGTAGAATGGTTTTGTATCTTGTAAACTAGGTCTAAAAATGCATACTGGTATAAACGCTAGATATTTATTGAGTGCAACTTATTACTGCTAAACTAAGCCTTAACTTTACACATTTCTCGGTCAGTGGGGAGAAGAGAAGATCTTCAGCAAGTCAGAACCTTTTACGTCACTCGAACTTTGTTTACATCGCGCAGCATAACGCAGAAGGTAGGGCTCAACGCGAAAACAGCGCCCCTTGATGAAATCTGGACCTCCGTGGATAGGCTATATACATGATATAGGCTATCCTTTTAATTGTGAATTTGTAAGCTAGCTGTAGATGGAATGTATTTTTATGAATTTTAAAGTTTTTACCACGCAATGACAAAATGTATTTCTCAAAGAGCTGACAATAAAACAAACAAAAATATCAAATCAATTAACTGGGCCTGTTGTGTTTTTTTGAAAACAAAAGTGGTATTTTACACCAGAGCCTACCTTCAAGTTCAATCAAAAGCTTCAGGCTCACGCACCTACATGTACGTACCGCGGTATACTTGCTTGCTGCTCAGCTAGCTACCATCCGACGCTGTTGTTGCTATCCGCCCCGAATTGTTGAAGTGCACCCTCACCGGCGAAAGAAAGACAGCTGGGCCGTTTTCCGTCTAGTCTACGTACGTGTACGTCTACATTCTAAAGCAAATCCCCGATTGTGGGCCTGAAGCGTTTAAATTACATTGGATTACTGTAATTTTTCATCTTATTTGATGTTTTTGGCACTATTAGACTAATTACTGCGCTTATACAGCCACAAAGTCAGCTAGTAAAAAAACAGTTGAAGCCCGAACGGAGCGGAAAACGGCCCAGGTATTAAGTCAGTCCACGTCCTGATACCAGACCCGATGATTCTAACAAGGATGCACTTCACCAGAAATACGCGCCCACACCACAGAAAACAGTGCAAAATCAGACCGAAAGAGCGCCGCCTGTGACATGACGATGCGTGGCATGCTCGGTAAGAGGTTGGCCTCCGTTTTTCCACAGAAAATTCAAGATTATGGCCAGAAGATTACTTTTCATTTCAATTTTATGGGGGTACTTTAGCCACAAAAATTTTTTTTATTCGCCTTTCCCCGAAGACACCCCCAAAATGGTAGCAAAACTAGTACATGTATATGCGCTCAGCTAGCTCTAAATGTAGCCGCACCTGCCTCTCTATTCAAAATAGGCCCGCAATTTGGGGCTTTTTGTGAAAGAAATACAAACTGGAAACTATCACTCCCAAATTTGGGATTTAGAGAAATATTTCTATGATCCTTCCCGATTAGGGCATAGACCTATAGATGTTTTATTGTAAAAGCCCAGTGGGATCACAAAATTTATGAGCTCACACGTAGAAATCCAACGTTATGGTGGCATGCACCCTTTAATAATGCCTAGCAGGATCTTTGGTGGGAAAAAATTGTCACAAACAAAATTTACCTAAAATGCAATAACTAACTCAACGATCACAATCATTTGCATATTTTTCAAAGGTGGTACTTCGACCAAACGTGGAAGAAATAACGCCTATCAGCAAACTCCATAAAGAAGGGCAGACAACTTCAACCCTGGAGGATACCGATTTGTTGATATCAGCACTACAGTTAACACTACTGTTCAAGCTATGCTGGACCATCAGCGTCAAAAGCCTGCTTATGGCCGGCCTGTGCTACTGGCAGAGAAGGGAACACATCAGGGCCTTGCTGTTTCAGAAGTGCTGGCATGCCAATGTCATTTCTCAACGTGAAGAAGGAAGCTACTCCGAGATACCTCGTCAAGCTGGTAGAGGTCGAAGGACAGCTACTCCAAACATGGCCTTCCAGGTTGGCCTCCTCAACCCTGGTACTACAGCAACCGGGGCAAGACGACTCTTGACAGCCATGGGTACATGTTCCCTCAATAAAGGGACTGCATAAAATATCACGTCACTGTGGGGACATTATTATCAATGAAAATGTTGGAAATATGGCTGACAAGCAGAAACTGGTTAAAGATATTCAACAGTTACAGGGCTTTGATCGACAGGCCCACTGCTGTAGAATCAGGTAGGCAATACAACAACCCTCTCAGAAACTGCCGGAAAAAAACACTATTTGTGCCAGCAACACAAACTAGGGATGTGGTATGTGAACATATAAGCACAAAGAAAATGGTGATAATGTTCCACCATGAGAGTAAACTTTGTATTAATGTTCAAATCAAATGTCATGCAAATACAGCAACAAATAAGCACATGTTCTGAGCACATGTCATGTAGTGCTACATGCCCGGAAAATTACAACATGGGGGATGAAAGTGTAATGGGCGTATCGCATAAGCTGATTGTCTGTGGTAGGCTTCCGTAGATTTGGAGTGTGTTGTGAAGACAGGCAAGGGTTTCCATGATAACTGTTGGTGCATTAAGTTTCCTTGTGACTTTACAGAATCAGCATTTATGTTCATATTATAAAAATCACTAATTTTAGTAACAGTTTTGGCCCAGATTCCTTGGTAATGATTGGCTTAGGTGACAAAAATCATGATAAAGTTGTAATGCATTAACGTCGATCACGTGATTGTAGGCCCGCCAAGCTGCCATTTTGTGCCAGCCCTGACAAAGACGTGCTCATCCTAACCGAGACATTTTCCAATCATTTTTGGCAGTATTGTTTTCGGGAGTATTGTTTTCTAAATGTTTTCAACAGTTAAATGACAAGTATTGTAAACCGTAGGACCAGTGAAAGGATCAAAGGATAGATTATTTTCCTTCTCTGTTCGTATTTGTCGCCCTGTGTAGCACGGCAAATTACATTAGTCATACATGTAGGTGATACGACGCTGTGTTGAAGAAGCACAGAGATTGGCAGAGCTTTGGATTGTTATCGTTACATGTACTTATTCTCAAAAGGGAAATATTCCATGTTGCACATGTAGTTGTGAACGATTGTTGCATTTCATGATAAATGGGCTTCCATCGCTGACTAAGACGGCTGGAAATTGTTGAAATCTAAACTACGGAAGCCGAGTGGTACCATGAATTAGGTACCAATTTCCTTAGTGTGGAAACCTTTTGAGCATTTTTGGCTGTCCTTATTACTTTTTGAGAGTTCTTCATTCCTAGATGTATGGTGAACCATGTATGTCACTATAAGATAAATCACATATACTGAAATTTGCAGAGATTTTTCAAGTGATAGCTTTGTGAATTACTTCACACAGTGGTAATTTTTACCTTGTGTTTGATGACCACATGGTGTTGGAAAGTTATTGTTGTGCACCTTGCAGGGAATAGTAACAAGTGTGCTCATTTTTTCATAGGTATTGAAGCTGATTTACAAAATCAGTACTTGATGTTCATCTAGCTACGGTAGCCAGGCTGTGCCATTACTGGGGTAAGCAAGCACAGAAATCAGCCAATTGTTTAAATTTAGCATGTTGTGGTATTTCCACATACTTTATTTAGCTTTTCTTGTACTTATAGAGTTTTCTGATTTTATAAGGTGCTTGTACTTGCCAAATTGTGTTGCTGATGCAACATTGCCGTTACATGTACATTCCCATTTCTGTAAATTGAGTTATATCTTACAAGATGTTCTAGTTCATTTAACAAAAAAGTCGGGGATGCATCCCCAGAGGTGACTTATGCCAGGCGCTAAATGACATTTATGATATACGGTGCCTTCTCTGATGTTATTTAGATACTGGTACATGTATAATTAAATCCTTGTCGAAATTGTGTATTTCACATGCAGGATTTTTCTTAGGGAGACTGCCTACGCGCTCCCTGTTATTAAACGGCACATTCAAAGAACCTCTAGATGGGAGTCACTTGTTGCATCATTTGATGTCCAGTTCTACCCTCTGCTCCCCGTCCTCCTCCCTTTACAAAAGAGAGGGGGGGGGAAATCAGTGTGCCAAAAATGTCTGGAGTATAAGAAACCCCGTTTAGTGGATAGAATAATGGGTGATGTGGCCGGCTGTCTTGAGAAAGGCTTTACTTCTGAAATTTTTCTAGACCCACCTCACTTAAACAGATCTCGATTCAGCCACATCAGCCAGGCCTCGTTCAGTGCTGGTATGTTCCCAGGCCAACTAAAACAGACCAAAGAAAGATACAGGACCAATCTGGTGATGATGTCAGTCACAGAGCAGAGGCTGCAGCAATTCTAAAGAAACTTGGTTCATTTACAGGATAAGGCCGTCAAAGCAGCATCAACAATTCCAGAATGTTACTAGGGCCACCATCACCTGTGCAAGCAGTGGTTCTTGGTAATGGTGATTACAAATTCCTCTACCTTCCTGTTCATGTCAGGGGAAAACTGAATATGCTAGAGTCTGATAAGACACTGCTCTTACTGAAAATTCAAAAGAGACTGGGTCACAAAGCAATTAAAAAAAAACTGATATGGGACGACAACACATAACATGCAAAAAGTGGAGTCCATGAACCACGCATTCTCAACAACAAATCCAAAAGGAACACTAACCTTTTCCAGAAATGCCCCCTCATGAGACCTTGAAGTAAACAAGCCTTGTATACACCATGGCCCAAGCACTAGGTGCCATGCGTGGCACATTGTTCTTCTCACATTGATGGCGTGTGGCTCAAGAGGAAGATGCTTAAATTTCACGCACAAGGAGTTGTGGCATCATAGTCCTTGGGAAGCTCCATAAACTTGGAAACTCCCAATTTGAGCCAGGCATGGCAACATACGGTAGGATGCCATACTTCCTATGTGCATGCCTTTCTATAGCTTGCGCTTTTTCCCTCAGTCTACACTTCTACTTCTCCTAAAATGATTCCTTTTACTGAAGCCTTCCAAAGAGAATCCATTGAAGACATGATGCCATCATTCATGCCCACACACGAGGTCAACTTGCCTGTTCTGCCATTGGATAAAAGTTTTATCAAGGTCATCTTTGCTTTGTAGAGATCCACGGGCCAAGTATTATCATGTGTTAAATAGCAGTTCAACAAGAGGCTGAGTCTTGATACATTTCATTAGAATAATGCATGTAATTAATGTTAACTCTGGACAGATTAGTGCAGCTGTAATATGTCACACTCGCTGCGGACAGCTGGCATGGCAGCTGCTAAATTTACATGTAGGCCTATGCAGAGAAACGGCAAGAGCCCCAAGAGAGAGAGCATAACAATAAGTAATAACAAACCCACAGATGAGCCAAAACAACCAGATAATAAAGTGTGATTTCTGCTATCATTATGTGTTTGTGTGAGATTTCAATGATATGGTGGCAAGCACCTGGCCTCTATGGGTATCGAAGTACGTGTGACGTCACTGTGAACCAGAAAGTGCATGCAGTTGTGGATGAATCAAGCATGTTGGTTCATGAACTGGTTCAGGCGCTAATGCCTTTTACACACTAAATGTGGGCGTGACATATTCACTTCAGGATATAGCAACTTCACTGTGAATACGCGTAAAACTTTGTTATCTCATGGATTTGGGTGCAAATACGCTATGTTAACGAAACTGGTGCAGGCGCCCCGACACACTGCGACATTCACACCATGTGTGTCACACTCAAGTTCTCTATCTTTCAAGTTCTTACATCTTGCGCCGCTACAGCTAGGTGGCACTATACAATCTTTGGTCATATGTCACAGAGAGTGTTGACTTTAAGTCTATAATGGTGTCGCGGTTCGTGTCTCATGTTTGACAATAGAGCAAGTGCTGTATGGTTTGACTGTTGCCTTTCGTGTTAGCATGAACCACACAATTTATTGCTGCGGAAATTTTAGTGTAAATATCTGTGGTTTTGTGGAAACATCTGTGGTTGTGCAATATTCAAATATCAAATTCAAAATTCACTCACTTTCGAAAATTGCGCTCAACAGCGGATTGGCACAAGATTGCATAGTGAGTCCCACCAATTCGCCCCTTGACCTCCATGTACATCTTGTCTGACAGACATGTTTGGCCACATCACTTAATTTTATTTAAATTTCAGAACAATCGTTCCCCTACAAAATTGGCCTTAACGAAAATTCATATGGGTGAAGTGTACAAGAAAAAGGTTGATGTTGTTCAGGCGGGGAGTGGTGTGCGTCGCTCGAAACTACAAGAGTGTTGTTATAAACTTATAAGGTTGAATTAGTGGGGGGCGAGTTGGTTGGAGCGACATCGCAAAGCACTATGAATAAAAGGTTGAGATAACTTGTACATCGAGTTTGGGCAGCCTGTTCTTGACACGGGTTTCTTCAAGTTGTTCTTGCGCTCGAACGGCGGGAACACGACTCAAGAACACTGTTCTTGGAACAGGATCACACACCACCTCCTCGTCAGGGTTTTACAGGAACACACGGAAAAACTCGTGAGATTTTGATTTTTGAACAGCTGCAAAAAGTAGACAGATGGCTTCCAAAGCCATAGACCTTGTAGACAATGGGAAGTTTTGCAAAATTAACATTAATTATTTTCCGAAACACAGAAATGAATGTTCTTGTTTATACAGAAAAGAATTCAGCCCATCCAAACCTTAACTCTCAAATAACGTACATGGACGCCGCAATGTTGCATGTTGCTTGTGTGGCAGAGCCAGAAATGTTTATGTTATTAAGTACACGTTTTTACATAGAAGTAGTTCCCCTTTAAAAATGTTGAACTTTAGTTTAGAGTTCTTGATTTTTTTTTCTAGTAGTGTG